GTATGACACACAAATACACAGACACATAGCAGAGGCATGTACAGTGACACCCAAAATATGATACACAAGGCAAAATACGCACAAACATGACCCACACAGAGACATGAGACACAACACCAGATACACAAAACAGAGATGCACAGCGTGCAGACACTCAGGCACACACACAGACACACTGCTCACACGCTCACAGTGTTTTACAACCCTGGAGCCACACACATGTCCTTACACGCAGCACACACGCCATGTGTCAGCTGTGTGCAGTACCTGTCTGTGCTCCTGGAAGGCAGGGAGTGGGCTGCGCGGGTGCTGGTCTCCGACCCCACCTCTCTGCCCTCTACCCCAGCTCAGCCCTCGGTCTCTTCCTGTTGGCCCTCCCCCAGCTTGTCAGCAGAGTCACTGGGGCTGAGGTCTGGTGGGCAGGCCGGGGAAGCTGGTGCAGGTGGATGGGGAAGCAGGCTGAAGCTGGCCCGCCCTGCGGGTCGGGGTGAAGTGTGACTGGCGCTCTGTTTAGGGGAGTGCAGGGATCTGCAGCACGTAGACAGCACCTGTGAAAGGTGACGTGCCTGTGTGCACACAGCGTCCCACTTGACCCACTTCCTCCAACAGCGGGGCCCTGGGCGGACAGGAGGCTGGAGGGCCTGCCTGGTGCACTGGCTGCCAAGTGACCTCTACAGGCCCAGAGCCAGCTTCCAGCCAGGCGGCCACAGTCCTGTGGGATCAGCGGCTGTGTGTGCATACGCGTGCACACCTGTAACATGCAGGGGTGTGTGTGTGTTGACCTACATCTGGGATGTGGCTTGATTGTCCATAGTGTGAGGTTCAGTATGTTGGTGTGTGCAATTGGAGCGTGTACAGTTTGTATGTAGTTATGTGAGCCGAGAGGCTGTGGTGTGTGATGCACGTGTGTGTGGTTGAGGTGTATAGTGCATCTGGCTCAAGCCTGTGCTATTTGAGTGTGTGCGTGATGTGAGGGGCTGTGTGGCTTGTGGCTTGTGACTTGCATGTGTGTGGTTGGGTATGTGGTGCGTGTGGTCCGAGCGTGTATCTTGTACGTGTGCCGTTTGGGTGTGTGTCGTGTGTGGTTGAGTTTATAGCGCGTGTGGTCTGAGCGTGTGTCTTGTACGTGTGCAGCTTGAGTGTGTGACGTGTGTGCTTGGAGCACGCAGTGTGAGGGTGCATGCTCCCACCAGCTGGACTGTGCACACACTTTACCCCTCTGACCTCTCACTCCATCTGCAGGTTTACGAGCTGACAGCCCACGAACCCGGTGACCGGAGCAAACTCCAGGCTGAGCGAGTGCAGGGCGCTGGCCTCCCCGCCCTGTCGCCTCCCTGATCTGCTCATCCTCTCCCAGCCCTGTTCACAGACGAGGGTGTGGGGACATGGGGAGAAACAGAGGTTCCTTGAGCCCACCGAGTGGTGGGAGCTGCACACGCTGGGGCCCAGACCACACACATATACCACATACACAGCTCTGGTATGCACACACCTATACCCCAGTCACACATCACGCTTTGCACACCATACACGTAACACGCACCACACACCATACATACCATGCATGACAAACATGTTCATACTACCTATACAGACAGGTACACACACACCTGACGTACATGCACACATGCATAGCGTTCACACATGGTCACACACGCACAGTGCCTCTTTGCCGTCACTGAGTGAGTTTACCCAGGAACTGTCCTGAGCACAGGGGCAGTGTGGTGTCCGTCACAGAGCGCTGCCCCTCAGTGCTGCCAGGACGGCCCTGCCGGAAAACCACCCCATCCAAAACCAGACGATGGTGCCCGGTGGCGGTCCGACAGCATGGCCCAGGTGAGCCCTCAATCCTGACACCTGCCCTGCAGTGTGAAAACCAGGGGTGGACAGGCTGACCCGTGTCCAGTCCCCTCAGTGGTTCCTGAGGACAGGTGACCTAGCTGAGCCGGGTAGATCTGCCCAGCATGGCCCTTCCAAGCCACATGCTGTCTGTCCCTGGGCTGTCCAGACCAACTCTCAGGTCCCTCCTCTACCGGGCCTGTGCTCAGCGCTCTGACTCAGAAATGGATGGGACATTGTCCTGAGGTCAAGGCTGGCCTGTGGGTCTCTAGGTACAGACACTGAGTCACACAGTCTGCTCACATTTGGAGACGGGGCCAGGGCTCAGGAGAGTGGCTCTCTGGACGAGGGACAGCCGCAGTGGGCCCTGGCTCCCCACACTACTCCACGTCCATAACTTCCAGAGACAGGGCCGCCAGGCAGCACAGGCTGTCAGGTGTCAGGGGGTGAGGGGAGGCGAGGGCCAGCACGGACCGGGCAGTGACTCCAGCATGGCCTGACCGCCTCGGCTCGGCTTTTACTCACACCCGAGTACACAGTATCAGTTCCAGAAGGACAGAATCTTGTTGGCAGAAGTCGGTGTCCCGCAAACTCCCTGACCTCTCCCCTTCCACTCAGAACCCAGACCCTCCCACGTGTCAGCTGACCAGGAGAGCCAGCCGAGAAGAGTAGGGCCGTGATCCCCATGGGCCTGTCCCCACCCCGGCCGGCCGGGGTCTCCTCCTGCTCCCACAGGGACAACCTGGGTGGGTCAGCACGCTGGCAAACACCGCTAATGAGCACAAAGGTCTCGGCTTCCACTCCACCCTCTGCACCTGCTGACCTGGGCAGGTGAGGAAGGTGCTGCAGAGGGAGGTGACCTGCCGCCTTCATGCCTCTCTGCCCCGCACACAGAGCACACAGTGTACACACACACCACACACCTTACACACACAGAGCACACAGTGTACACACAGCATACACCTTACATACACCAACACACCTAACAAACACAGTGTCAACACACAGCACATTGTACACACACAGCACACACGTAGCAAACGCAGTGTACACACACCAGAGTGTACACACAGCACACAGTGTACACACACAGCACACACCTTACACACACACAATACACCTAACAGACACAGTGTACACACACATCACACATGTCACACACACACAACACACAGTGTACACACACACATTTCATACACACGACACACCTAACAAATGCAATATACACACACAACACACAGTGTACACACACAGCACACACCTTACACACACACAACACACCTAACAAACACAGTATATACATACACCACACCCAGTGTACATATACAGCACAGACACACAACACACACACGGCACACACAGCACACACACGGCACACACAGGGCACACATATACACAAAATACATTTCATACCCCTCACACAGACACACACCACAGACGTTTACACATAGCACATACATCATATACAAATACACAGTATATGTAAAAATCACACACATATACACAGTATACATACAGCGTTCACATACAAACAATACACACATCTACACACATCATACTGCTCACACTCACCCTATACACAGTATCCTCCCAGCACAAAGAGACACGCAGCACACACTCCCCTCCAACACCCCACACAACACCTATGACACACACAGCACATCTCACACACACCCCACACACGGCACACCACACCAGGTACATACACTAGCTTCACACACACCACACAACCTAGATACACAGTTTGACCATCTCATACATACATAATAAAATCCACATCACATACACCACATGAACCACATACACACGGCACACACCATGCACATCACAAATACTACACCACACACACCGTAAATATCACACCAGACATATCCACATTCCACACAAACTCTCATACCACACATTCATATGTATGTGATATGGACACACACATGTCCCGTGCACAAACACGTGCATAGCATGCACCACACAGACCACGCACACACTGCATATCATGCACAACACACACATCTCACAACCATGCACACATAACTCCAGCAGGAAGACATCAGGGCTGGCCCAGTGGCCACTGCACACACGTGGGCTGAGGGAACCATCATGCTGGCCATGTCACTACCCTGCAGTGAGATTCAGAGAGTCAGTGCCTCTCCTCATCTGAACACAGTGACCCTCTCGTGCCAGACCCCGGTAGTGAGTGTGAACAGGAACATCTGTGCCTTGTCACCTGTGGGCCCTGTGTGATCACTTCATGCCCTAGGACAGGATGAGTGGATGCAGGAAGGATGGAGCTGGGGAGAGAATCTGGCCTCTCCCGCTCACTGCCCTGTGAGCAGTGGACACTAGACCCCCTCACAGACCAAGTGAACTGCTGGGTCACATTGAGAAAGGCCAAAACCCCTTGCCCTCAACCCCAAAGACAGGTCTATTCTCTATAATTCCTCCACGCTATTACCTGAGACACAGACTGACCCAAGTGCCCTACCTACTTCATGGGTCACCCAGTTGCTGGCGGGCAGCTCAGAGGCCCCTGTTCAGAGTTTGTTGACTGCAGGGGTCAGAGCTGATGTCCCCAGCCCCATCTGCAGCTTTCATTTCTTGAAAGGATTTTAAACACGGACAGAGAAGAATGTGCATCTCAAATGTTGACCCTGGCTATCTGCTGGTCGTTTGGAGACAAGTTGGTGACCTTTGCTTCCAAGGGCTCCAAGTGGGAGAGGGGCTGTGGGAGGGCAGGAGAGAACTAAGGAGCTCGCTGTGAGCAGCTGTTCTGGGCGGGGAGAGAGAGGCTCCGAGGCTTGCTGGTGAGCCCAGGAAAGGCGTCTCTTCAGCCCACCCTGACCCCTTCTGCCCTGCCTGGTCCGGCCAGACCGTTCTAAGAAAGGTCAAGAACACCCCAAAGTCGAAGGAAGCCGCACTATCCCTGAGAGCCCTGAGGGCAGGGAGAAGGTTTGCGCAAGTCCGCGGCCAGGTGCGCGCCTGCCCCTTTAATCGCAGGTAATTGGGAGGCGGAGGAGGGAGTGTCCCGGCTGCCGAGCTGCTCTCCGGGGCCCCAGTTCCTGCCGGGACACCGAGTCTGTCCCTCGTGGGACGCGCACAGCGGGACGGGGCCTCTGCAGGGCGACGTTGGGCCGGGCCTAGGGGGCGCCGGCGGGGGGCGACTCTGGCCCCAGCGCCCCCGGGAGCCGGCCCCGCGCCCCATGGGGCTGGGTGCCCAGGACAGGGGGCTGTTGCTCCGCCTGTGGGGCAAGTTCCGCGGGTGGGTGCAGAGGCGCGAGGCGTGGGCGCAGGGCCGGGACGAGCTGCACCTGCGACAGCAGCAGAGGTGAGACGCGCGGGCGCTTCTGCGCGGCTGGGGCGCACGGGCGGGCGGGCCGGGACGGCTTCGCCGCGGACACGGGTGCTCGCGACTCCGTTCCGGAGACCACTCCCGCCGCAAGGCCTCCCGGGGGCTGCTGGCTGGCCTGCGAGGGCGCGGGCTTGGCCACCCCGAGGTGCTGGCCGGGAGGAGATGCAGGTGAGCCTGCTGGAGCTGAGCGAGCAGAGTGCCTGTGCGCCTCCTGGAGTGCGAGTGCGCTGGGATGGGTGGAGGGATGCAGACCGCAGGCTGGGGCTGACAAAGCAAGACACACCCACCCCTTGACCTGGAGAGACCACCACTATCCACTTCGGTCCTCAGACTAGCCGAGACCCCTCTCTCCAGGGACTGAGGGGGCGGGACAAATAAGGCATGGCTCCCAACCTCAGCCAGCAGGTCCCCCTCCCCATTGGAAGGGGAGATACTAGCAAATGAACAAATACCAGATTTTCAGAGACCCCCGCCCCCCCCCCCCCGGGGCCGGGGGTGGGAAGGTTACTCCCTGATGATGTCACCACCCATGGCAGCCTAGGAGCTGAAGAGAGGTGGACACTGGGCCCTGGGGCCTGCCTGTGGGCACCAGGCTGTGTAGGCTCCCTCTCCAGGGCCAGGAGGATAGCAGGAAGTCCTGCATGTGGGGCTTCCCCTGTGGCCCCTGAGCAGCAGGGAACAGGTCTGCTGTGTGTTCAGGCAGCCCTGGCCCAGGGGCGCAGGCTGGCCTTTGTCTGCAAGTCCCAGGCTGGGCTGTGACGTTCTTCTGTGAGCACAGCCTTCCCTTTTCCCTGCAGCCACCCACCTCTATCCCCCATGCCTGGGAAGATGGGGGCTGAGCACATGCTTGGCTGATGACATCTTGGGGTGACAGAGTGGTATCATTGTTAGACCACAGGGCACACCATTCCACTCATCCCCGAGACTGGGGGAGCCAGATACAGAGAGGCCCAGGGTCTGGGGATGAGGGCCCCAAAAGTGCCTGATGGTGGGGATGAGGCATGAGGGTTTCTACTTGGCTTTTCAGAGGCCCCGTCTGAGCCACCTGGCCCACTCTTGGCCTTCTCCTCCCCAAAATCCAGGAGTGAGGCTTCCCTGAGACGGGTCAAGGGACACTGAGCTTACATCCACCTACCCAGATGGCATGTGCACGTACACATATGCACACACACACGCACCCACCCACACGCCTGTATGCATACTCTAGCACTTGTGTGTCTACACGCACACATCCCATGCACCTACCACTGCCTACACGCCGTATCTCACACACACACACACACACACACACACACACACACCATGCACCCACCACTGCTTACACACCATATAACACACACACACTCACACCCCACTCATCTACGTGCCACATCACACACATACACACACACACTTACATCCTTTCATACACCCACACACACCTAGCAGACACACTACACCACCCACACACACACACTCTTCCACCTGTAACACATGCCGCTATATACATCCAGAGTATATACCACATATACATCAATGCGCACACCGTCTCACACACAGCTGACACTCACACACGGACACATACGTCACATACACACTCACCACAAACCCCCCTGAACACTCCTCACACGCACAGCCACAAACCTAGCACACACTGCATACGTAGTCCTACACACTCACTCACACAACCACCGATACCCTAACCCTCACACACAGGTGCACACCCCACACAGGAGCCTCCCAGCATGTGGCCCCGGGAATATCCTGCTCACTCTTCCACCTGACTGCTCTTTGCTCCAGAGTGCCTGTGTTCTGCCCCACCCCCTCTCTGGCCTCAAGAAAAGCCTCTAGCTAGAAAAAATAACAATTCTGATGCAGCGCTGACTGAGGGTCCACCTTGAACCGCCTTGCTCTCTGAGAAATGGGAGGACTGTCTCCTGTCACCAGCTGGGAGTCCCAGGTGACTGTCGGTCCACTCCACAAAGGCGCAGTCTGCTCAGGCCGCCACAGCCCGTCCTCACAGGCCCCAATCCCCCTCAAGGCCTGGACCTTCCACAGTGGGGACCCTCTACACTGTGCCACAGAAGACCCAGGGCAATGCGTGTTGACACTGCCCCCGGCCTCGGCCCCATGTCGATGCCCGGCAGCATGGAGCACAGGAACCCAGAGGCAGCAAGTGGGCCAGTCCCAGCTTGTCCCTGCTGTCCAGCTCATGGCCTCAGGCCCCTGCCACTTCCTCCACCTGCCCAGGAAGATGTCTGAGGACTTGAATGTTCTGAGGCTGCAGCTCCGGCCTGGCCTCCCCTCCGGCTCTCTGCCCCAGTCCCCTTCAGAGCTGGCTGCCAACTCCCAGGCACAGGCTGCAGACTCCTGGCTTGTCCACGGGCTTCAAGGTGGAACAGGGTGCCAGTGGCCCAGAGGACACCCCCAAGGACCACTGGTGCTTCCATTCAACCCAAACGTGTGTGTGCATGCTTTTGTGCTAACAGCCCAAGGGGAATTTCCACCTGACAACCCTGACCAGGAGGGAGCTCTGGCGGCCTAGTGTGTAGTCTATGCGGCTGTTAACTGAAAAACCAGCAGTTGGAATCCACTAGCCAGTTGGGGGGCATGGGGAAGCTGTGCTATGTCCTTTCACAAAGGTCTCAGCCTCAGAAATCCAACAGAGGGCTGCCGCCAGCTGGCACTGCAGGGGATCATATCCATCCAGCACGTCCCCGTGTGGTGCCGATGGTTGCACGCTCAGCTATGCCTCTAAAGGCAAGTGGTTTGAACCCACACAGAGGAGCCTCAGAAGAAATGCCTGGCGATCTGCCTCTAAAATTCACAGCCTTGAGAACCCTGCAGAGCCAGTCTCCTCTGGCCCCCACAGGAATCAGGACCAACTCCACAGCGACGAGTTCAGTGTTGGCTTCAGGACATCAGTGGTGCAAAGGGTTTGAACAAGCTGCTAACCAAATATTGAACACGTCTGGACTGCCAGCGGAACAAACAGATCTCTTAGAAGTACAGCCAGAGTGCTCCTTAGAATCAAGGTGGCGAAACCGGGCCCGTGCACATCGGACGTGTTCCCAGGAAGGCCCAGGCCTCGGGGAAGGCTATTGTGCTTGGTGAAGAGGAGGGCCAGTGGAAAGGAGATGGGCTGGCCCGGCGCTGCAGCACTGGACTCCAACCCAGCGAGGTGTGAATATGGTACAGGGCAGCTGCGGGCTTTCCTTCTGCGGACAGAGAGTCACCGTGTCAGAGCCAATGGGAGGCAACAGCTAACCACAGCTGACCGAGAGCCGGACAGTCACTCCTGACCACCTGCGAGCTGTCAGGCTTCAGTCCTGGAAACAATGGGGCACAGTTCTGCCTGTGACTCACAGCTGACTTGGCAGCAGGGCTTGGTGCTGACGAGAACACCAGACTTGGGTTTTCAAGTTCAGGGTCCTGTAGAGTAACCTGGGAGAGGTCTTCTGCAGTGGATGGTGTTCCATGTCCTCCTTGGCCACTGGCTGCTGTGGGCTCTTTGGTTCTGTTGGAGTTTCTGGTTGGTTTCTTTTGTTGATTCTCCCTCTAGTATGTAACGCCTGACAAACCAACCTGTACAGGGTCTTGGTGATTCCTTTCTTGCCAAGACTCTTTTCAAAGGAATTTGAATAATTATGCCTGCAAGTCAGAGTTTCTCCGTTTCACATTACTCTAGACACCTTAAACCAAGTAGTTCGCTATTGCAGGGGGAGAGGGGGCATGTCTTGTCCACTGTAGGCTGTGCCCAGCGGGTGCTGCCAGCAGCGCCTCCCCAAGGTGTAAAAGCAGAGCCTCAGGGAGTGGACTTGTCTTGGCGGGGAACCACTGCTTTAAAACCAGTTTGTGGGTGAGGCCTTCCAGGCCTAATCTCACGTCTTCTGTGTCAAAGATCCCCTGAAAGTTAGCCATTCGAGTCAGAAGGTATTAAAACCTCCCCACCCTGCCCCCAGCCTCTTGGGAACCTGGGAAAGGTGTGTGGGATTGAACTCAGAGCTCGACTCTAGGATGGTATGTCCTGGGGGATGGGGTGCTATTGCAGAGGCCACTTCGGCTATTGGCTCCATCAGGGTTCAAGAGCAGACGGGTGTCCTGCTCTGGACGGGGGCAAGGGCTCTCTCTGCTGCCTCCATATGGTCATCAGCTAGTACTGCAAGTACTGGCTCTGCTGAGCACCCCCAGGCCCTGGCTGCTCCCCCCTGGACCCTGGGCTTTGCCCTGTCCTCCCCAAGAGGTCAGTTGTCCACAAACCATGCTGGGCAGTCCATCGCTGGTCCTTCACCTGCATGCACTCTGACCAGCACTGTCACATAAAACCCAGGAGGTCTAGCAAAAAAGGAATTTCAGATACACCATGAATATAAACACAGATAAATAAGGATGTATGTCCATGAGATCTACTAATACTTAAATATACTACTTTAAAAATGTATGATGTTTGTCGATTATATTTAATTCAAAGCTGGCATGACCACAGGAAGTTCTGAGCTTTCACTTGCCAGGGCTAAGAAGCTGAGGTCTGATGGCGAGACACATCCCTCCTGGGCCACCAGGCCCCTGCCAGGTGGGGCAGGCAAGGCGCACAGGAGAGGGGTGTGGAGACAGGACAGGCCCAGACAGCTAGGAACCTCCCGTGAGCACCTCCTGTCCACGGTGAGGAGCAGCGACCAGGACTTGGTGCCGTCTTGTAGGGTTGATGACCTTTCACATTCCCTTCACCTCGGTCACTCTAGGGAGAGTTAGCTTGAGGAAGCAGGGGTGGGGAGCTGGAAAGGGGGTTCTGGGCCTTCAGGCCCCACCGCCCAGAGGAGGAGGACACAGCTTCCAGTTCCCGCCCTCACTAACATCCTCACCTTAGAGGGAGGCCAGGCAAGCATGTGCAGGTGTGTGTGAGCGTGTGTGTGTGTCAGCGTGTGTGTGAACGTGTCAGCGTGGGCACATGAGTGTCAACTTGGGTGTGAAGGTGTCAGTGTGTGTGGATGAAAGCTACTATGCGCGAGTGTACATGTGTGTGCACAGAGTCCAGATGTGTGTGTGTGTGTGTGTGTGTGTGTGTGTGTGTGTAGGTAGACCCGTGCTTAGTAGTAAGGAATCGCAGGGCCAGAGCAAAGGTACAGGGTTCCCATCCAGCAGCTGTTGGTGAGAGAGGATGGGCAGTGTCCTCCCACGTCATCCCTGCCTCTACAAGCCCACTGAGAGCATCAGCTGTTCCACAGGAGAGAGCTCTGGCTCGGAGGCACAGTAACAGCAATGTGTGGGTGGGTCCAGGTGTGTTGTTATTGAGTCGGAACCGACCCACAGCTGACCCTCCAGCAGTTTTCAGAGGTAGTTAATCACACGGGAAGGGACTGCCCATCCTTTTCCGTGGAGCAGCTGGTGGAATCGAACCACATGCCCTGGGGACTGAGTGCAGCTTCTTAACGTGTGTGTGGTTACTTGTGAAAGGGTGTGCACAAATGCACACACATGTGTAAGACTGTATTGGCTCGTCACCAAGTCCGTTACAGGCTCCCAGGCGTCAACGGGATGAGGGCTTGAGCCACAAACTCTTGGAAGCAGGAGGCTGTAGAAAACTTGTTCTGCAGCTCTGTCTGCATAGCAGCCCGGTGTTTCTACATCCAGAGTGTTTGCTTAAGCTTGGCTTTGGGGCTGGCCTGTGGCGGTGCGGCCGGAGAGCTGAGGCCTCTTGGCCCTGCTGGGGACTGCTCGAGGAGGGAGGTGTGCTGTGGGCAGGGCGCGGGGAGCAAGGGTGTCCTGGGTGCAGATGTGTGGTGAGAGGACATGAGCAGAAGGAGCCGAGGGGAAAGTCGGTGCCACAGACGCTAAAGAATCCTGCCTTTCTGATCCTTGGGCATCTCAGGGCCTGTGTAAGCAGGGACACTTGCCACTGCCTCTGTGCTTGAGAACCCGTCATGGCAACACGGTCACTGGTGGTCCATGCAGGCAGTGTGCAAGGAAGTTTCTCAGCCAAAAATGAGGGTGTAGGTTTGTGGAGCTGAGCAGCAGAAATGGGGACTGTAAAGGTGAGGACAGGGCTGGGGGCGAGGGCATGGGGTGGGCAGACAGCTAATGACAGGGAGGTGAGGACTCTAGGGCTATCTTTCACACTTAGATCTGGGAGGACCCCTCCCCCCGGTGGCCTGCAAGTCATAGGTTGACCGTCTGTGGATAAATTGTTAGATGCCACCAAGTTGGTTGTGACACATAGCAACCCCCTACACAGCAGCAGGAGATGCCTAGGTCCCGCCATTGTCACCCCTGCTGATGCCCTGGGCCTGGGGCAACCTCTGAGTCAGCCCATCTGGCTGAGGGCTCTCCCTTCTCCTCTTTCTAACACGATGTCCTTCTCCAAGGACTGGTCTCTCCTGAGAACACGTCGACGGCACACGAGACAGACGTCCCCATCCGCACGTCAGGGGAGCACTCTCCCCGTGCTTCCTCCAGGACAGGCGCGTCTGTCCCAGTGTGTTCGTGATGTGGTTGGCAGCCTCTGCCGGGACTGGAATCTGAAGCATTGACTCCAGTTCGATCTCCCTGATGATTGTCCAACTCCTGCATGCATATGTGGCCGCCGGAAACGATGAGTTTCAAAGGAGTTCTCTGCTTTTAACTCTTTAAAGAGATTCTCCGCAACAGATTTGCCCAATGTGGTATGTCACGTGGTGTCTTGAATGCTGCTTCCGTGGGCACTGACTGTGGATCTAAGGAAAATGAAGTCCTTGACAACTTCAGTCTTTTCTCCATTTTCATGATGTTTATCAGTCCAGTTTTGAAGGTTTTTGATAGCTGGGTTCATTCTCTCCCATAGAAAGACCAGTCATCTCTGGACTGAGATGAAATGAAATCGGAGGGCCTGCGTGTCTTAGGAGGAGCCTAGGTGGCTGGTAGCTAGCAGGTCAGCAGCTCCTGAAGGTCAGGTGATGAGTCTCTGTAAAGACGCAGCCTTGGGAGCCCTTGGGCAGGTCTCCTGCCCTCCGTGGGATTTCCATGTCTCGGGCTCTAGAGCACCCAAAGCCGTGTGTCTCAGTTGGGATAAGATCAGATCTTACCAGAGGTTTTCTTTCAGTCTGGGAGCAGTCTGAGAAGAGAGCTTTGCCTAAGCAATAGAGAAGCAGTTGTGCAGGGAAGGTGACAGCATGTCATAAACCCCGAAGTGTTGTCATCAAGTTCGTTCCAACTCCCAGCAGCTGCGGAGGACAGAACGAAACAGCCCGTTAGGGTGGCCAAGCCTGCCGTCTTTACAAAAGGAGACTCTTAGGTCTTTCTCTCCCAGAGCAGCTGGTAGGTTTGAACCACTGACCTTTTGATAAGCACTGCACCATGAGAGACACCATTTTCAGACATTTCAAACATTGTTGTCAAGGCCCTTACCGTTCATGGTAATCATATAGGACAGAACAGAACTGTTCCACAGGGCCTCCAGCAAGGTAAGAAGTTGTGCCGTCAACCCAAAGGCAGGTGGGCCAGATCCATATGTCTCTTTGTATGAGAAAAATGGGCAATCTCCTCTCTTGCAATTTATGTCTGAAAACTCACTGGAGGGTCAGTTATGAGTCAGTTCCAACCCAGTGGTAATGACAGTGAGACTCTTTAAGCAGAATATGGTCTTATCTTTCACATTTGTGGGTTTGAACTGTTGACCTTTGGGTTAATAGCTAAGCACTGCATTCTTGGGATCTAACCAAGGAACCCAAAAGTAAAAGGATCCCTAGCGTCTCTGTTGGATGTTCCTGAGGACGGTCAGAGGGCAGCGTCAGTCATCCTGCCCACCACTGGGATGACAGCCTTGAAGCGGTCCTCTGGCTCTTTGGCTCTGTCACTGTGGTAAAGGTGATGCTTCCATGGCCCACTGGACAGAATGAAGGAAGCTGGGGGTTGTGTGTTCCAACTTTGACATGAACCTGTGTAAGGTGCAAACCCCAGCCCTGGCCCTGGGCTCCTTGTCCCAGGGCCCACACGTGGGATCCCACAAGGTTGAGCAGAGCTTCTCACAGATGGCCAGTCACGGGAATCCGCCATATGCAGTGGAAGGGTGCCTGAGAGAGCCTGCCCTTCTTATGTGCTGTCCAGATGCAGGGGAGTGAGGTGGTGGAGAAGAGAGTGAGAACGGAGGGAGTGAGGAGGGCAGGGAGGCACAGGACAGAGAGAGGCCTGGAGCAGACTTGGATCCTGGGCGCCGCTCTGCCACTGAGGAGCGCAGAGACACTGCAGGTGGAGCGACAGGGCCTTCTGGGCAGGTGTGGGCCAGCCCCTGGGCACTTCCCGGACACCCTCAGCCCACAGCCAGGCCATGTGGCCCCAGGAGCATTACTGAGGGTGTTTGGGGCCTCAGGAGGCCTGAGCTTCCAGAGCCAGACAGGCTGAAGAGATGAGAGTGTAAGGCCTCCTCGGCCACTCCTGGGGCAGGAACAGCAGTCACCTCCTCCCACACTAAGAGGACAGAGTGCGGGCTGGGTGAACTGAGTGCACAGAGAAGAGGCCTC